AAAAACCAAAATAAATAATTGCAAAAAATCGCATGAGAGGCACAATACACTTCTCACATATATATGAATTAAACGATGTATATCTGAATCTATATATCTAATGTTCTTTTTCAATATATATATATACATACACATACACACACACACACACACACACACACACACACACACACACACACACACATATATATATATATATATTTATATATGTATACACACATATATATATGTATACACACATACATATATATGTATTGCACATATACATATATATGTATTGCACATATACATTTATATGTATATATTATACATTTACACATATAAATATGTGTGATGTATGCATAAACACACGTTTATACACACACACACATACATACATACATATATATATATATATATATATATATATATATATATATATATATATACATATGTGTGTGTTAGTGTATATATGTATAAATATATATATCTACACACACTCACATATATATGTATAATATGCATATGAAATATGTATTATGAATTACATTAACATTCTCTTAGTTTCATCATCTGCACTGAAGCCTCAACGTTCGGTTCTGCAGTGCGTTTACAAGAAAAAAGGATATAAGCTGAACGGGGATTAAACCCGTGCAGGACCCTCGATCTCCTCGTCAGTATAAATAGTGCTATTTACTGAATCCTCGTCATTATCTCCAACAAGTGCCAGCATACAAGGCCATGCTAAGCAATCCTATTTGCCTTTCCAAAATCCTCTACAACGAAACCAACTTCGCCAAACGTCGTCATGTCGGATTACCCAACTCAAGATGCCTTCTACGGCGCCGTCGGAAGCGCAGATGAATATCCAAGTGCCAGTTTGATCTTCCGTGACACACAAAGCTCAAATGTCCATGAAGATGAAGAGCTCATTGCCAACTTTGACCTGGATCTTCTGGCAGCCGAACTGTGGCCTGAGTCGAGCGTTGCGGGAGCAGCATCCGACTCGGCGTCTCGTGAAGGAGGCCTTTTCAGTGCCACATCTCTCTCTTCGCAAGACGAGGATTTCTTGGTTTGTGTACGCCAGCTTTTAGCTATTGATAAAAATCTGGATATATGGCAGATTATGTAAAACAGGGTATGTAGCAGTCAATGTGAGCAAGATGACTGATGCATTTTAATCTTTACAGGGTCTTGGTGCAGTCAATCCAAATGACATGTTCAGCAGTGGGATGCATCCGTCATATCCATCGTCTCACAACACAGAAGGATATGATCCTTATCAGTATTGCGAGCAACAGGCTACCTCCTCTTATTCATATGAGCCACCGTTGGACCTTTCTCAGTATGACGCCAATTTGGGAGAATCTTTTCAGCAAATGAATATTTCTCAGTCATACGATCAGCATTCTGGATATGCTTATCATAATGATCAACAAATGGGCATTTATCAGCAACCTTATCAACAATCGGGCATTTCTCTCGACTTGGACCAACAGTTTAATGTCCTCCAAAGCCAAGAAGGTGTAGCTACTGCTGGTGTGTCTGGAAGTGGCACTTCAAAGAAACGGAAAGGCTATCGACATCGGCATCAGCGTCAGTTCCTCAGTAGCGCTGAGCAACGAGAACAGCGGTCCCGCGTGCTCAACAACGAGGCTTCGGCCATTTACCGAAGGAAGATGCGCGATCTGCACGACAAAGCTCGCACGGAGCTGGACGGCCTTGAGCAGAGGAACCAGCAACTGACGCAGAGGTTCCGCCTCCTGCAGAAGTTCTGCTCCGGATACAGGGCTCGCTTGGAGGCTCTCGGCGTGCCAGCAACAAACAACTTCTGACCCGAAGTCAGCTGATTATATTTCATTTCAGAGAATGTATTATTTTAATTTTGAAAGAGCACATATTTAGTAAACATATTAATCCATTATTACGATTGTTAAATTATGTTATTCATATGTTTTCCAAATGAATTATATAAAAATATTTCCTCATAATCATAAGATAATCTTTCTTTTTACTATTTGCGAATGAATATCAGATGAAAATTACAAATGTTAACCATGATGGTATTTATCACAGTAACAATAACAATGACAATAACATTAACAAAACAATAATTGAATATCTAAGTAAATATTAGAGCAAACAAACAGACAGAATATTCCCCTCTCCTTTCTACATATATGGAGTGTAGTGATGTATGTATTTATCTATTCCCACACACATACACATATGTATACATATATTTACATAATGATTTTTTATTGGGGGGGGGGGGCTACATGCCAGTTTTCCCTATCAATAATAATAATGATAAAAAACAAAACAAAAAACATGCGTACACACATATCTATCTATCAATATATATACACATATATATATATATATATATATATATATATATATATATATATATATATATATATATATATATATATATATATATATATATATATATATACATATATATATGACGAGAATGACAAGGATTCAGTGAAAAACACTATTCGTAATGGGAGAAGAGCGAAGCACCTGTGCGGGTTTCGACCCCGCTTCATGTGATCCGTTGCACTGAGCTGCTGAACGTTGAAGCCCAAGTGCAGAGAAATTCAAAAACATTTGGCATATATGTATATATATATATATATATATATATATATATATATATATATATATATGTATGTGTATGTATGTATACGTATATGTGCTTTTCTGTCGACCTGTTAAATCAGAGGGAAAGATACCATAGTTTTCCATGTTTGTATTGCTGTTATTTTCACTACTATCCATTTTGTTCATATCGATATCATAAGCAATGCTATTACTTGCAGGGCGCGTAATAATGTCATTGCTGTTGTTTAGACGCAAGTTTAAATATGTAAATCCCTACGTATACATGCCATCTAATGGATATAGTGTCTAGGCACATAAACTTTTGCATTCAATGTGTATCTATAGATATCTTTGTTCGAGTTAATATTTGGAAAGGAACTTGAGCTGTGAATTTTTTAATGTTGAATAGTATAATGTGTTTCACAAAAAGCTCATGTAATACGGATGCACACACACAGATATATGTATATATATATATATATATATATATATATATATATATATATATATATATATATTATATATATATTATATGTATATACAGTATATATATATATATATATATATATATATATAATATATATATATATATATATATATATTATATAATGAGTAACCTAAACTCATATGGCATGCATCCCGTATTACTTTAACAGTGCAAAAGATTGTTCAAATTGATATTTCTTTTTGCAGAATTCGTAGAAATGGCATTGCCTTAACTACGTCAAATGACCTGCAGCCATTTGTTGATACACTCGTTTTCAAATATCACTGCTCGGTAACAACAGGTTTGTCTGATTCAAGGGCAGGAAACATAACATTTTAACAGCTAATTTTCACTAGCACTGTGGATTTTATCGAAGGTAGATTGTTACGATAATTACAGGTGCGTGTCCTCTCAGGTAGACTGCATCACTTTGTTGAAGTACACTTATGAGTAAGAACAGCAGATGCCATTGCATATCTTCAAAAATCAACAAAATTCTTTTTCCTGATGGAAAGAATTACAGTGCTTATTTTGACTACGAAATTATCTTAAGCGAATAAGTAGCTTATATAAATAGGTCTTAAACTATCTAAAAGGAAATGCTATCATAATCAATGTTGGCAGGCTGACCGTAGCACTCACCCTACTGATTAAAGTGACTAGATCAAATGTGTTTCTGTGTGTGTGTGTTTGTGTATGTGTGTGTGTGTGCGTGTGTGGGTGCGCGTGTGTTTGTTTGCGTGCGTGCGTAAGTGTGTGTATGTGTGTGTGAATACCCGTGGGTGTGTGTGTGTTTGTACATGTATGTGAGACAAAATAACATAAGCAGATGCACTCACGACACAAAGGTAATGATTGCCGGTACAAAAAGCGAGCATGTGCAGAACAAACCAAGAACAAGATTCTGGAGCCAATAAATAGATAAGGTGACATTATCAGTCTCACGAAAACAACTGATTAGCACAAAGCGTGGGCTGTCTCATGAAGAACACCTCATGGGCCTCAGGTTATGGACTAAATGTATTTTTTTCATGTTATAAATGTCGGAATTCCCTCTTCCAGCTATTTGCTCTTAAATACTTCTGGTAATCACTAAAGACAAAAAACTGAACTGCATACAGAATGTCAGTCAGTGATCTTTTAAGCCGTTAGGCACTTTTACTGATATATATATATATATATATATTATATATATATATATATATATATATATATATATATTATATATATATGCATATGTGTGAGTAAAATATGCATATATGAGCATATGTATATGTAGGTCGATAGAGGGAGAAAGAGATAGATTGATGGATAAACCTCTATAGAGACGTTAAATATGAATATATATGGGTATGTATATATACATATACAAACATATATATATATATATATATATATATATATATATATATATATATATATATATATATACATATATGTATTTATATATGCATCTATGAACATAGACACACCCAAATATATACACACACGTTATATAAATAAACACACACGCACATATATATATATATATATATATATATATATATATATATATATATATATATATATATATATATATATATATATATATATATATATATATAAGAGAGTCACGTTTCATAGATTCTGAGAGCAACCAAGGGCCAAGTAGCGATCATGTCGGCGTCTTGAAATAACATGAGATTTCCGAGTTCCCGGTAGATAACACGCCTTGTTCGAAACCTGATAAGTACCAAAGCAAATTGTGACTCATGAACCTGCCTATATATACATATTAACTTACCTACTTTCATCACATTCAACGCTAACACCTCATCCAGTCATGACGAATTCCAATAGCCTTTGCCAATACTGTGCCAAGTTTAGTAGCATCTGTAAACACCCGTCTGTGATTCGCAATATCAGGGTTTCTTTGGCACCGAGATAAACGCAAACATGCAACACATCACGCTCGAGAGAAGTGACACTTCTACTCTTCAGGAGTATGTCACCTCCATCCTCCCCGACTCGTTTCGCCCTAACTTCGGCGAGGACCTCGATCTTCACAGGCCTCTAGACTTGGGTCAGGAACCGCCATGCTTGTGGCCTGACGAAACGGATGGCGACTTCAACCTCAGGTCTCGAGTTGAGGCAAACCACAACCCAGACGACTTGCTGTGGTCTGCTGCTGGCCTCGACCTTGGGTCTCGGGCTGAAGCAAGCCACAATGTAAACGGTGATATGTGGTCTACTTCCGATGGCAACTTCGGTTCAGGGACAGAGGCAAACTACAACGCAGATGACTTGTGGTCTGCTTCTAAGGGCGACCTCAACCTTGAGACAAACTACAATTCAAACGGGCATTCGTGGTCTACTAAAAGCAGCTTCAATCTGAGATGTGACACGGACCGTGGAGGACCGATTCCCTGGGTTGACGGCGCACTGGCTGAGCCGACCTGTTCGAGAAAGCCGGAGAGGAATTCCCATTCCTTTGGGGAAAATACGTCCACACCAACAAATATCTGTGAAATATATAATCAGGTGAGTTGAATCACTCATGTGCCTTTTTTCTTACCAACAATGCAATAGACAGACTTTTCACGTGACTAGAATTAGATCTAATTTGACTTCTGTTGATCAGAATTTGTTTGGCTTTGGGGACGAGGAACCGCAGCTGGACCAAGGACTTCAGCTTACAGACGGTCCTTTGTTGCTGGACTCTGGAGACCCTTGCAACAGCAGGCGCACAGCAGAGTTCGCTGACGCTCCCTCGCCGCCCCCTGCAGCAGGAAGGAAGGGATACCGACACAGACACGCCCGGAAGTACCTGAACGACGAAGTTCTCCAGAAGGAACGGAACCGCGAACTCAACAACGAGGCGTCGGCCCTGTACCGGAAGAGGAAGAAAGAGACCGCCTCTAAGTCGGAAGATCATCTGCGACATTTGCAGCAAGAAAATGATCATCTGTGCAATAAACTACAACTCCTGACCGTGCAAAGTGACTGGTGCCACGACGTTTACGTGAAGTACAACGATTATTTTGCACCGTCCCTAGACGGCACCTTGCTTCCCTAAGATAAAACCATCAAATGTAACCTTAGACTTTGAATCTCTCAGTATTATTTCATTAAACATAAACTTCAGACAAATGATCGTATGTTATTTCAAATTCCCTAACAAGTTTGTGTGTAGGTATTTGTACATACACATGCACACATGTATATATATATATATATATATACACATTATGTTTAGAAAAAACATATAGACATTTAAATATATATATAAATATATATATATATATATATATATATATATATATATATATATATATATAATATATATATATATATGGTATATATACTATACACACATGTATATATATCTCAAACCAGGCGAGATAAGGAAAAAAAAAACATATATCCTATATAGAATGAAAGAAAGATAGGAAAGAATTGAAAGATAGCCCTACATTTAAGAGAGAGAGAGAGAGAGAGAGAGAGAGAGAGAGAGAGAGAGAGAGAGAGAGAGAGAGAGAGAGAGAGAGAGAGAGAGAGAAGGGATGAGCAGAATATACCGTTACGTTAAATAAAATAAAACAACCTGGCAACCTAGAGGAATTCAAGGTCAGTCCAAAACAGAGAGTTCGAGATCTGATGAGAATGACCATGGCAAATAAAGACTAAAAAAATATGGGGTTCTTGTGTCATCTAGCCATAATGGGCGTGCCTTGTGCCATGCCATAGTGTCATGACTCCCGCTACCCATATTTTCTCCTCATCATCGTGTCAGCAAATGGTATCCATCGAGACCACCACCTTGTGTTGTAGTTCCATTCGCCCGACGTTAAAATGTGTTTGGAAATGATCTGAACTGGATGCGACGTGTCCCGAACCCCCTCCATGCCTGGATTACGAGGCATATCCTGAACGTGGATGATGTCCACTTTCTCGTGAAGTTGGCACTATGCACCCTTCACATGTTCTTGTCCAGCCTTCAGCCTCGGCTTCTTGAACGAAGTGCAAACCAGAGCCGAGCAACTGACCCACCAGAAGCCCCGACCTACTCGGCTGCCTCTTCGATTCTTTTACTACTGTCGCGATGCGTCGGGACTGTGCGTCATCCACGGAGCCCGCAGGCAACACAACCACACCTGCCTGCACTCCGGCCGCTGTGAGCAGGAGCGTGCACCAAGACCGCTCACGCTGCCCACACGGGAGACACGAGCTCGCTGTATGTGAATGTACATGCATAAATGTGTATGTGTTTTTTTTTTTTTTTTTTTTTTTTTGTGTGTGTGTGTGTGTACTTTTTATAATTTTATTCTAGTGCTCTATTTTAGATTAGTACTAACAAACCATAGATTTATATGTATAAGTATATCTATGTATATATGCATATTGAGGGACAGCCTTCAAAAGAGAGACCAGCAACTCATGCAGAATACACACACACACATACAGACACACACACACACACACACACATATATTCTACGAATACAGGGCCCGTTAAGGGGCTCTCAGCGTTCCAGTTACAATCTAAGACTTGAGGCCATCTGATTTTTCTTCATTTCAGGAATTGTACCATGCTGATTTGTAAGATTACGTTGATTTAGTTCCTTTCAAATATATTTATATCTTTTTAGCACACATATTTCATTATATTTGTCAAATGGAATTTGTTTTGTTTCCCAGAGTAGCAGAGAAAGGCAGACATAGAGCATGTCTCTCTAGCTGAACGTATATGTGGATAAAATAGCTGTTCCATATATATATATATATATATATATATATATATATATATATATATATATATATATATATATATGTATATATATGACATGTTGATAACCCCCCCTCAAAAAAAAAAAAAAAAAAAAAAAAAAAAAAAGTGGCGGGAAAAGGGAAGCGGTGGTACGGGTTTCGACCCCGTTTCATTCGCTTCGTTTTTCTCGCAAATGTTCTGCGCTGCTGAACGTTGGAGCCCAAGTGCAGCTGATGAAACCTTCAGGCTATACGTGAAATTCTAAAACATATTTGGCACAGGTATACATGTATGCGAATCTTCTTGCCTGTATACTTTATCTTTATGTCTGCATATGCAATCAGAGATACCATAGTTTTCCATGTCTGTATTGCTGTATCATTTTCATTACTATCCATCTTTTCGATATCGGTAAAATAATTAGTGATACTACGTTTAACGTACGTATCAATGCCATTTTATTTATTTATATATATATATATTTTTTATACATGTCTAAATATGTGAATACCTAAGCATACACACTATTTAATGTATAAGGTGCTTCAGTTCATAAACCTTTGCATTCTATGTGTATCCATTTGTATCTTTGTTCGAGGTGATATTTGGAGAGGAACGTGAGCTGTGAATATTGTAACGTTTTCCAGTATATGACAAGAAGCTCTGGCATAAGACTTTTAGGAAGACTGGACGCCGCTAAGGGTCCAGAGGTAGAGAAGGACAAACTAAAATCAAATGTGTGCTAATATGTTTGATTAAGTTATACATACCTGATATACATGCTGCTTTACAGATATGCGTATTTGTGTACGGTATAAACATGTATATGTATATGTTACCCATTGCAGCAATAATGATAGAATATTGATAATAATTACCATTAATATTTTTATTAGCATTATTATTAGTATTAGCATTACTATTATATTTATTATTAGCATTTTTATCATTATCATCATTATCATCTTCGTCATCATTATGATAGTGATAATGATGATACAGATAATGATAATGAGTAACAGGAATCTTTCTTGTCACAGTTATGGTGAAAGTATCAGATATCATCATAATCATGATTATTATCAATATTAACAGCGACAATATAAAAGTGACTATTACCAAAGCCATATACATTATATAAAAATGTTAATTATACCATAGAAACAATATATGCAAAATACCGCTCCAGACACTAAGTGAATAAAACATAAATATATGTATATATATACATATATATGAAAATGGATAGATATATTTATGTTCATATATATATACATGTATGGGTATGTGTATATATTCTCTCTCTCTCTCTCTCTCTCTCTCTCTCTCTCTCTCTCTCTCTCTCTCTCTCTCTCTCTCTCTCTCTCTCTCTCTCTATATATATATATATATATGTGTGTGTGTGTGTGTGTGTGTGTGTGTGTGTGTGTGTGTGTGTGTGTGTGTGTAAAACATACATATGCTTAAATATATATGAACATGGATAGATGTATCTTTGTCTATATATCTATCTATTTATATATCTTTATTTCTCTGTCCCTCTCTCTCTCCATATATATATATTTGACACGAACACACGCATACACACACACGCTCACATATATTTGTGTGTGTGTGTATGTCTGTATGGGATCAAAAGCGTATTATGAATCACAATAACATTCTCTTAGTTTCATCATCTGCACTGGAGCCTCAACGTTCACTCGTCAGCGCTGAACAGGTGCGAAACCCGTACTGGCTCTTCCCTCTTCTCACCAGTATAAATAGTGCTATTTACTGGATCCTCGTCACTGACTTCGGCAAGTGCCCGCTTACAAAGCCATGCTAAGCCATCCTAGTTGCCTTTCCAAAATCCTCTGCAACGAAACCAACTTCGCCAAACGTCGCCATGTCGGATTACCCAACTCAAGATGCCTTCTACGGCGCCGTCGGAAGCGCAGATGAATATCCAAGTGCCACTTTGATCTTCCGTGACACACAAAGTTCAAATGTCTATGAAGATGAAGAGCCCATTGCCAACTTTGACCTGGATCTTCTGGCAGCCGAACTGTGGCCTGAGTCGAGCGTTGCAGGAGCAGCATCCGACTCGGCGTCTCGTGAAGGAGGCCTTTTCAGTGCCACATCTCTCTCTTCGCAAGACGACGACTTCCTGGTACGTACTCGACAGTTAATGTCAATAAAAATAGGGTATGTAGCAGTCATTATGTGAAAACTTAATCTGGCATATAACTGATGAATGTCTAATCTTTGCAGAGTCTTGGTGCTGTCAATCCAAATGACATGTTCAGCAGTGGGATGCATCCGTCATATCCATCGTCTCACAACACAGAAGGATATGATCCTTATCAGTATTGCGAGCAACAGGCTACCTCCTCTTATTCTCATCAGCCACCGTTGGACCTTTCTCAGTATGATGACAACTTGGAAGAATCATTTCAGCAAATGAATATTTCTCAGCCATACGATCAGCATTCTGGATATGCTTATCATCATGACCAACAAATGAACATTTACCAGCAACCTGATCAACAACCGGCCATTTCTCTCGACTGGAACCAACAGTTTAATGTCCTCCAAAGCCAAGAAGGTGTAGCTACTGCTGGTGTGTCTGGAAGTGGCACTTCAAAGAAACGGAAAGGCTATCGACATCGGCATCAGCGTCAGTTCCTCAGTAGCGCTGAGCAACGAGAACAGCGGTCCCGCGTGCTCAACAACGAGGCTTCGGCCATTTACCGAAGGAAGATGCGCGATCTGCACGACAAAGCTCGCACGGAGCTGGACGGCCTTGAGCAGAGGAACCAGCAACTGACGCAGAGGTTCCGCCTCCTGCAGAAGTTCTGCTCCGGATACAGGGCTCGCTTGGAGGCTCTCGGTGTTCCAGCGACAAGCAGCTACTGATAGCTACCTGAATCTCTTAGATCAAATGGTCCAACTAAGTGTCTTGTCGAATATGTATATTTTTAAACATTCCTTATTACATCTCTTGCTCATTCATACTTTTCTAATGGTATTTTAGCTGACAAGCACTCATGTCAATTTTTTTTTCTATGTACATGAAGTGTTTTGGAACATTAAAGATATTTATTGAAATGGTACCAAGACAGAAAAGGTTCGATGCCATTCACAACTGAACGGTAATAATAATGAAAATACGTTTTCTTGTTTTCTTACGTGTAGACCCCTCTTAGAACATATGCATCACTAAAAGATCATTTGCTCTAGTACAAGCTTTAATACTCTCACATACACATACACACATATGAGCAGTGATGCTTAAAAGGGGTGTTTTGACAATTGCCTCAGGCCAGTTGAGTAAGTTAAGGTAATGCAATTCATATGGATTCTGGAATAAATATATATATGAATATTTTT